TTTGTACAGGAAGACCCTATCAATCGTCTCCTTGTTCTCTCGAGACATCAGACGGTAGCGTGTAAGGAGGCAGTAATCCCCTTGCAAAGTGACTTGTGCGGATCGATATGGCCTTCCCAAGACGATTAATCCCTCTCCCCTTCCCTTTCTCTTCTACCCCTTCTCCTATCCTCTCTCCTGCCTGTCTTTGATTTCCCCCTTTGCAGCTATAAAATCCACAGGCGGATCTAGAGAGCTCTCTCTCAACCCATTTGCCATCTTCAGGGAAGTAGTGGCTAGATTACGTGATGATCGGCAAGTCAAAAAGTCATGACGGGCCAGCTATAGTCTTACCAGGTTGACTCTGAATGGCCGCGACATATTGCGGGATCTGAGTAGTCATAGAGACGAAGTTGGCGGGGTGAAAATCGTTGTGGAACAAAGGTTGGTATATGGTGGCCAGGATTGCCAGTGCCTTAGTAAGGAAGGTGTTTGTGTTGACGAGTGGTTGCATAACCCAGGGCCATGGTATGAGAGGAGAACGCTTGCGCACCTTGATTTCTCATTCTTTTTCATCTCATTTTGGAAGCTAAGTTCACCGCCAGATGCCAATCTCCTCCGAATCTTCTTGCATGCCTATGTATTGGTGTCTGTCCTTTCGGTCTTGGCGTTGTATGTTTGTGTCTCAGTGTCTGTCTTTTTTTGCCAAGTCACAGCTTCGTCAATACTCTCTCTCTCTCTCTCTCTCTCTCTCTCTCTATCTATCTATCTATCTATCTATCTATCTATCTATCTATCTATCTATGAATGGTTGGACTTCCTCGTTTCTATCAGCGTCTGAGTTACCACCCCGCTTGGCAATGCCCCTTTTAGTTCGATCGGATCTGGCATGTACGAGCACCGTTGAAGTTAAGAGGCTAATGAGGTCATGCAACCTTGCTTTTCCTTCTCTACTTCTTTCGCATAGTGCATGGTGCGAGTTTATGGTAATGATTGATATGTCGATGACATCCTGCTTCTGGCCCCTTTCCTTTTGACAATCGAAGTTTTGTCGGACGAACTCAGTCGAGCACAAAAAGATTGAAGGATGGACGCTTTCCTATATGATTGATCTTTTGCTTTGATGTCTTGAATGAAATGCGATTTCAATTTTATTTTTCTTTTACATAGGATTAACTCAATTATGTCCTTGTCTCCTTTCTTCCCTCAAGTGAACGCTAACCAAGTGATGGATTGAGTAGACAGACGAAAACTAACAAGCTTATGCCATGTCGACTGACCATACAAATCGGAATGGGCGTCGACTTCTCGCACCCCCAGCGCCCGTTCCTGTACAACGAGGAAAGGCCATGTGTATGTGAGTGGGACATGCGATAAGTCGTCACAAAGATCGGAGGAGGTTATTATTTTTCTCCGGAAACGAGGTGTTCACCGACCTTCCCCACAAGGATGTCTTCGTCTTTCTTAGCAAACTATATGATGCCTTCTCCCTCCACAACGTCCGTGTCACACACTGGCTTCCTATTGCCAGCACCAAGCTACAGGAAGGCGCCACTCGTTTGTGGTACACAGAACGAGCTAACTGCCAATATGCAAACGAGGAACCCCATTCCTTGCTTTAGTGGACCAATCTCATCATCTGCACATTGACGGTCGATGATTACTTTGAGCAACTTTATCGTCTTCGACAAAATGGCCCGACCAACCGCTTTGTCCACTACGTCTGTGCGTTGCGGCAGCACATCCGCCTTGACTACGCCAGTGATGCCGCATTCATCTCCCGCTTCAAACGGGGATGCCCCAAGGACCTAGCTGCCTCCCTCGTCCACGACCCCCCAATGTCCCTCTCCGATCTCCTCAACCGCGCCATTCACCTAGACAAATTCCTCACCCCATACATGGACGCACTCACATGAGTCACATCCGCCCCAGCCCGCCCATGATTCTTTCATAACATCGTCGACGAAACCTCTCTCTCTGCCTCCTGGGACGAGTTCTCTGCCCCTGACCCCGACATCCTCTCCGACCCACTAAACACCACATCACTCTCCTCTGATGAACTCTCAGCTATTCACCTCATGCGAATGGAAAAGAGAGAACGCTCCAGCCATCCTCCCATGAACACCCACCCAACCCGCCTGAAGAAACTCACACCCGAGGAAAGAGCCCACCTTCAGGCAAAAGGTGGATGCTTTCGGTGCCGACAAATAGGCCACCAGCAAACCAACTGTCCACTTGCTAGACAATTCAAACGCCATCCCACGACCCCCCAACCCGCTACTTCCGCATCCCCCACTCCCGGGCCTTCGTCCACTTGAACATTGTCCCCATGATCACCACGCATCCATCCCGACATCGATGACTAGTCTGCCGGCCATCCCATCGGTGACGATCTCCACCCCACCGAAGACCTATTTGGAATCGACAATACGTTTGCTTCCCACCTCTCCGGTGCCGCACATCCCACCGGACGACCCCCAGGCGTCGCAACCCTCGCCGCCCGACAACCCCCTCACTGCCACATGTTCCTTAACCCTCCTTCCAAATCCCTCCTCTGTCACCTTTCATTTATGTCATTGTTTGCCGCCTTACTAAACGCGCCCACTTCATCCCTTGCACCACATCGCACAGCGCGAAGGACGTCGCCATTCTCTTCGTCGACCATGTCGCACGCCATTACGGTCTCCCCGAGAACATGATCAAGTTGAATAACCATGATCCTTGCTTCTTTTTACGATTCTGGAAACACCTCTTTAAAGTCTAAGGAACCACGCTCAAGTATAGCACTGCATTCCATCCACAGACCGATGGACAAACCAAGAAGATGAACGATACTCTCCAACGAATCCACATCAACACGATTGGAATCAGTTGCTCACCGCCGCCGAGATTGCCTCCAACAGTGTTGTTTGTCCTTCCACTGACATGACTCCATTCTACCTCGACCTTGGCTACCATCTGCGCTTGCCTTCCCACTTCTTGCTCCTTTCGCAACTCAACTCCTCCAACCCCTGCCCTTCTCTTAATGAATGGGTAGCAAGAATGAACAGAGTCAACAGACTCCTCAGAGAAGCTACCGAAGCCCTTAAACGAATACAAGAACAACAAGCCAACAAGATCAACAAACACAGACGGGATCTAACATTCAAAGTAGGGGACAAGGTTTGACTCTCCCCCACACACTTTGAACCCGAACACGACTTGTCCAAGAAACTCTCGAACAAGTGGCTCGGGCCCTTCCCCATCATTGAAAAAACCTCCCCCGTCAACTACAAACTCCAGCTCCCCCGGACATGAGTCGTGTCCACTCTGTCTTCCACGTAGAACACCTAAAGGAATACCATGAATCCCCACCCCAATTCGCTGACTGTCCATATCCTAGACCCCCACCAATCATGTTACCCACAGACCCTGAATTCATCGGCGAAGCCATTATAGGACGGAGAAACCACCGTGAACCAATCACAAAATACAAAGTTAAACAGATAGGATACCCTGACGAAGAATCCATTTGGGAACCTCTTGCTAACCTTAAGAATGCTATGAAACTTATTCGCATATATGATCATGCTCACCTTATATCCTAGATACATAATATAACTTAAACCCTAAACCCTTACATAAACCCCGCCTTGACCCCGCCAAACCCCCTAATTCCTGCTCTACACCCCTGTAGCCAGCGAAACCCTTGCCTCTTGAACCCCGCCCTGTCTGATCCGCTCTTGCCTCCTCCTTGCCCCATTCTCCCATCTGTCCTCTGCCACACCCTTGACTCTCTTGTCCAAGTTCTCTGTGTGACCCCTGCGCATCGCCAACGATAATGGATCTAATGGCAAGCACACGAGGACGATGGCATGCTGCAACTCAGTACGAGGAGATAAGACAGTTGGTTGGCCACCATGCTATTCCCTTTGGCTGACACCTTGGACTCGCAGACTTCTGGAGCAGCACCTCTGACATGGACATCAAGATCAGTCTGCGACCTGCTATTCGGATCAAACCTCATCATCAGATCGTGTACCAGACGCAACCTACTACTACGACAATCAAGCTGAAGCCCTCGTCGTCTACATCACGAAACAGTTCAAGACTGTTTCCTCGTTGCTACTTCTGTGACACCCTCCAAGACCTTCCTCAAGACATTTCTTCGCTTTTAACACGCTGTTACAGACCCGTGACCTTCTTTTCCCAGACCCTCAGACACCCCAACAATTGAGCATTGAACAAACAATTTTTTTGTTGTTATTTCTTTCTCGAACCTGACAACCTACAACCTTGTACAGCACCAATAGGACCTCCCTGTTACCTGTAGAACCTCGGTAAGATTACCCTGTTACTTGAGCATTGATTCCCTCATCCCTGTAGAATCTTAGTAGGATTACCCTTAGCTATTACTTGAACATTGATTCCTTCATCCTTGTGGAACCTCAATAGGATTACCCTGTTACTTGAGCATTGATTCCCTCATCCCTGTAGAACCTCAATAAGATTACCGTGCTACTTGCATTACTCCCCTTTTCCTTTTCTGACCAGTGATCGGCCCCGTCCCTTCCTTCACAGTTGTTCATTGGGTCTTTGGCAGTCGGGACGTTGCCTTCTAGAGGGAGGGGATAGTGTTACGGACTCGGCCAGGGATCGATCCTTGGTCCGTGGGTTACCACCCGCCAGGTTGTATTTTCGAGTCTATGATTTCCGGTTCCTGACTGTTGGCTCCCTCTGCAGTTGGCGCCCGTTCTCAAATCCCTCATATGACACTTCCAGGATTTCAATACTTGGCGCTCTGACACCCAAGCTCAGACCTTCGATTTGCAGTGCAGCCCGAGGCAAATTGCACTTTTGCCCTCGGACTCAACTTGAGTCTGGTACGTAAGACTGGACTCAAGCTGAGTTTGGGGGACTCAGTTTTCGGCCTCAGTGCTTGTGCTTCAGTGTGACTTGCTGTGACATGGTGTACGGAACCAAGATTGCGACTTTACGACTTTGCGACTTTGCGACTTTGTGTCCGTGTCCGTCGAGTCGAGTCGAGTCCGTGTCGAGTTGAGTGAGTGTGTGTGTGTGTGCTCTCATTCCCCCCCTCTCTCTTTCCTGACCTCGCTGCTCTGCCTCAGCCCCGTCACATTCTTCTTCTTCTTCTTCTTCCTCCTCTTCCTCCTCCTCCTCTTCTTCCTCCTCGTCTTCCTCCTCCTCTTCCTCCTCCTCCTCTTCTTCCTCCTCTTCTTCTTCATCCTATTCTTCTTCGTCCTCTTCTTCTTCTTCTTCTTCTTCTTCTTCTTCTTCTTCTTCTTCTTCTCCTCCTCCTTTCTCCTCCTCCTCCTTCTCCTTCTTATCCTCCTTCTCCTTCTCCTCCTTCTCCTCCTCCTTCTCCTCCTGCTCCTCCTGCTCCTCCTCCTTCTCCTTCTCCTCCTCCTTCTCCTCCTGCTCCTCCTTCTCCTCCTCCTTCTCCTTCTCCTCCTCATCCTGCTTCTCCTTCTCCTCCTCCTCCTCCTCCTTCTCCTTCTCCTCCTCCTTCCCCATCTCCTTCTTCTTCTTCTTCTTCTTCCATGCTTCTGCACCTTTCACCTGTGTGTGATCTAGCAAAGATCTTTTTGTATGTTTGGACCCCTCCCCGCAAGTGAGTGAGATCATATCTGAGGCACATTCCACTGTGTCAGTTTGCATCTCTTCTTCTCACTGCTGATCTTTGGATTTGCCTTACTGATCAGGCATGCAACACTCTTTGTGGGGAGACACCGTGCTGGAAACCGGGTCGAGCATCCCGTGATACAACTTCAATTACCTTTCAATATAGAAGTATGTGTCATCAGGCCTTATCACCTACAAGGGGGCTTTACAAGCAACCTATACTACATCTTCCCCCTAACAATCATCACACCCTCATCATGAATGTAAAAAAGTTATCTTTCCGGTAAAATACAGCCATGATCAGGGTGCTGTGTGTTTTAGGAAAGGCGAGTAGCCTGATCACAAATATTATCTAGTACCACCTTGAAAGATTCAAAACTTCTATCTTCCTATGGGTCATATCTACTCTCTTCCCTTCCAACATCTTCAGAGACAATATTCATGAGAAAGTAAGGAGACAATATTCGTGAGAAAGAAAGGAGACAATATTCATGAGAAAGTAAGTTCAAAGAAAAGAGATTCAGAGAGGAGTTTGGCAAATTCCTGGTGCTTTAAGACTATATAAGGTTGCAATGGACTGCAAGGGCTACCTCTTCACCCGTTAAGTGGGCGCCAGATCAGATAATGAAGCCCTGGTATCCTACATCCTGCAAACTTAGTGAACTGAAATGAATACCTTTCTTACTTTCTCTTACTCATAACCAAACCGTGCTCTTGGAACCATTCTCAACTTATGGGGAGGAAAGGGATTTGGGAATTCAGATAGGGGACGTAAAGGTGATGTATTGTCAATCAATGTGCACTCATTAAAATCCAGTCGATAATCCCTGAACACGTCTTCCTGATCTAGTCTCCCTGCCCCTTCCCATTTAACCTGCCCCAACTTTCCCCTTCGGGGTCCCCCCAACCAACATTGACTGAATTATTGTATGTGCTGAAGTATTTCATTTTTGGAGGATAAGAATTTGATTTTTTCCTTAACCCGCTCCCTTTTAGTGGCAATTTGCATTTGTATTTGTTGCTTAATATAATCAGTGAAATTATGGGTCGTCCAGCCTAGCTCCTTGCATCTCATAGGTACACCGTCTTACCCAGATAGACCATATGACAACCCTTCTTCCTATAGCGAACAAATAATGTGAGAACTCATCAATGTCCTTTGGAATCCAAGATTCCAGAAGAAGAGTCTTCCAGTCCATGACCACTGAATTGCTTTTTTTTTTTTTTTTTTTTTTTTTTTTTTGAACTGGACATGCTCCAATCTATTCGTGGGGAGCAACACGTGCTGGGAACCGGGCCCAACGTCCCATTCAAAAACATATTGAAGAAATTTTGCAGAAACCTTTAAGATACCAGGGCCATTCCCTGGCTTCGGCTAAAGATGAAAACTATGCAACCTACACACTGAAAGCCATCTATAAGCACGACGAGACTCAAAAGCATGGAACAGATTCTAGATCTCTGATTCCAATTAGGATATAACTCTTGTAATAGCCTACCGCCGAGGTCCTGCGAATAGGTCAAACCTACTCAATCCACCTACAACCACCGCCAGTATGGCTAAAATCAGCACGAACCGGAGCTCTTCTGGGCCTGATGCCCCCATCAGGTTAGGTTACAGAGTTGCACCACCTTGCTCCAGCACCGGCCAACATCGCACCCATTACGACCCCCGATGACCACTAGGACTGCCCCCCAAACAGCCCTCCAGAGCTCTCTACCAGGCCTCGCGCCCCCACTAAGCTAGGTCACAGAGTTGTGCCACCTGGCTCCGGCTCCGGCCAGCGTTGCTCCAGCATCGATCCACGAGGGCCACCGACTTTTCAACCATCCCTTATAGGATCATAAGTGGATTTGCTAGATAACACCTATCCCACCACCTCCTCGAAAGGCAACCAAGTAGTAGTAAACTAGATGATAGGTTTCTTCATGAGAGATCGCCCCTCCCACCCCCTACCCCTCCCCCCTAAGTCCTACACTGCCTCCGCCGAGGGGAGTCACCCACTCTCCCTCGGCCCCAATATAGGACCGAAACCCCTCCCCCCTTTCCCCATGAGCATACAGTTCCCGCCTAAAGCATGCCCCCCCACCCCTGCCCATTTCCGCCTTCGCAAGGACTAATGTTGACCCACACACACAGCCCCTTGCCCCGGAATAGGGCAACCCCCCACTCTGCCCCTACCCCCTTTGAGACATTCGCCCCCCGCCTTGCGATGCCTCTGCAGGATGGAGCTTCCCCCACCCCTTACCCACCCAGTCAACCCTCCGGGAATAATCCAATCCAGCCGACTACAATTATGTGCACCACGCTTACCAAGATATTGTTCGCTTAGATTTTGTTGAATGAAGATGATGATACTGCCAACTCACCTCTCAATTATAAAACATCCGGTAATGAACAGTCCCTCCGATTACAACTGCGATATAATCGGATGATAATGATGATGATGATGGTAGTGATGATAGCAACGAGATGGTGATAATGCTGATGATATTCCTGAGATATAGTCTGATGATAATGATGATGATGATGATGGTAGTGATGATAGCAATAAAGATGGTATTATCGATAATGATGATGGTAGTGATGATAGCAATAAAGATGGTATTATCGATAATGATGATGATGATGCTGACGAGATGATGATAATGCGGATGATATTCCTGATGTGACAATGACCACTGAAGTGCAGTTCCAAAGTAAGACAAAATACGAGCCCACCATCTCCAGAGCCAAATTGTCCTTGGACACTGTAGGAAGATATGCTCAGTAATCTCTAGATTAGCCTAGACTAAAAAATTGTCTTACAACATTTACACCATGGGAACGCCACCCCCCTTTGTTCCAATGAAGTCCTATCTATAAGCCGATCATTAGTATGAAGGCATCTATGTTCTATTTGTCATTGCAAAGAAGAAACATTAGCTGGTTTGTCCTTGATCATTCTATATCACTTAACCTTCCTAAATGACTCTTTATTAACATTAAGACACTTCATCCATCGTTCTCCCACTTTATCTCTTAAATTAATCGTAGGATGAAGCATACGATATGTGGATTTGACAGACAAAGTATGAAAAACATTTACATTTTTCTAATGATCTGGACCATTTCTAGTTAGCAGGATCAAAGGCCAGATGACTAGTGGGTATGTTCGGTTTGAAGGCCACTCATTTTTTCTTGTGCTTTAACACTCGTATTTTGAAAACCTGATTCTTACTTACCCACCTAGTAATATCCCGGTCATTAATTATTACATAATGATCTTGAGCTAACGCATATATGGAGAGGATAAATTCACCATTCTCACAAACCTCTAAGACATTACCCACACAGTTTGGGACATCTATAATTATAACCCAATCGCTCAGTAGAATTTTAAGCCCCCTTTTAAAAAATACGGAGCCAATCCAAGGGTAAGAGTTCAAACAATCTCTCTACAGCCTCCTCAAAATGATGGTAATATATGAACCGTGGCCGTAAAACCAGTGGGGAGACTCACTCATTTGTCTCACAATTTCATACATCCTTAACCGTTACAATACAAATTTTAACCCACAATTTCTAAGGAGAGTCTATACAGTGAAGGTACACCCCTGAGAATCTCTTATTAGAGGATTGTAGAAGAGAGGTTGTTGACAAACTTCCTCCCATCTTTCAGGAGAATTTTTATCTGTCATTGGTAGTTTGCACCATGTTCTTATGATAGTGATCCAAAAGGGGTGCTTACATAGGTCTAATCTCGCCGCCTGCCTATCAGTAGTTCCTTGATCAGTCGGTTCATGCGACGATCCCCTGAGAAGAGGCCAATATCTATTTTCTAACCACATTAGAGGATCGATGCTTTCATGTCAGACCGGGGCTAGCCGTCTAATATGTTCCTAAGCCAATCCATTCCAGATAGTCTCTGGGTGAAATCAAAGACGCTTGATCCATTGCATTGATAATGTCAAAGCTTGTAACGAGGGATCAATAATCCCCAACCCCACTTTGGACTTAGGTTGTATTATTGACTGTCACGCCACCCTACTAATAACTTGACCAAACTTATGATTTTTTCTTCATAGGAAGACAACTAGTTGGCGCTGTAATGCTTTAAGTGATTTCTTATCCAAGGCCCGTCTTGCTGATTTAAACCAAGTAGAGGCAAGTACCACATTATTAATTACCAAAGAGCGACCTAGGAGAAAAATATGTTTTCCTTTCCAGAGTTCTAATTTAGAATTCGCCTGTTGAATTATAGTTTCGTTATGAGTGGTAGGCTTACCCATAGCTGGTAGAGGGATGCCCAACACTCTAATTGGAGTATCTAGGGGTAACCACTTGACATGCGGTCTTTTTGGAGGCCTCACCCCTTGATGATGAATTCACCATCCCAACGTTTTACTACCCACCTTCGTATCAAACATACGACATAACTTATCCACCAATCTTTGGATTTCCTTTGAACTCTCTTTCGCCGCATCCACCATGATGAATAGATCTTCAACAAAGAATAACATATCGAGATAGCCTCTTCCGGGATAACACAGACCTTGATTCTTTTGATGTCCCTATTCTGTCTTAAGTTAGCTGCTAAGGCTTCCATGATAATGACGAATAGAGACGGGGCAATTGGGTCCCCCTTTATCTAACTGGCCTTTGAAGTGAGATTGAGGGGGGGACATTTTCATTCACCATAACTCTTGTAGTGACATTCTTATGCAGTATACCAACCCACCTCCTAAAGTCTGGACCAAAGTTAAATTTCTCTAGGCATTTGTCTAGAAATAGCCAATCGACATGGTCATAAGCTTTCTAAAAGTCGATAAATATGAAAGTTGCATTATGTTTTGATAGTTGAATTTCTCTAGGCATTTGTCTAGAAATAGCCAATCCATATGGTCATAAGCTTTCTCAAAGTCGATAAATATGAAAGTTGCATTATGTTTTGATTGCCTTGATAGTTTAATAAGTTCCTTAACCAGAAGAATATTGTCCTGAACATCCCTTCCTGTTATAACCCCTGTCTGAGATGGATGAACAGTATCTGTAATAACCTTGGAAATAACGGAAAAAGGGTTTGTGGTCCATTGACTTTGTCTGGGGATTTCGCCC